ATGCATGCATGCATGCATGCATGCATGCATGCATATATAATCTGTAGTACAAACCGCTCCATACAGACTCTACCTACATTTCTTCCATATGGTGCTCAGCAGGAACTGGAAAAGAAAAAGACTCAACCTGCCAGCTTTCTAGGAAAGGAACAAATTTATTCGTGCCCTCCTCCTCCTTTAAGAGATGACAGGAGACTATAAGAGAAGAAGCAAGATGGTTTCATAGTTAGGCATGGTCTTGCATTTTGGCCTGTGTATCTTCAGATAAGATAACATAAATGTAAGCAATAGCCATCATGTATTTCTAGAGGATTCAAATCAATGGTACCAATATGAAGGGGAAGAAACCCCCCTCCAAATTATATGTTCAATGGGGAAGTCCTCACTTTGGCAGCAGTAACTTTTACATGTTATATGGTAACTGTCTGGATGAGTAGCAATATCAGCTGGAAAAAAAGTTAACATAGGCCTAGCCTAAGATTATACCCCCAAAAAAAGAGGGATTCAAAACATGTAATTTCTGATAAACACATTACAGATCTCTGTAAGACTAGTGATTTATGTCTGGCATAGATTTGGTTGATTTTACTTAAGAGGCCTCTTTGGTCCCAAAACCATTGTCCAATTTGGCAATTAAAAGAATTACAGAAAGGTGCTGCCTAAATAAATATTGAGAGAAATAAGATATGTCTCATAAAATAGAGAAATCTTACAAATTAAATTAATCATGACAGAGGCAGCTTTTTGTCTGCATTGCCTGTTAATTCACTTGATCTGGTTGGTTTAATGTAAGAACAGTGGATCTTTGCTACAGTTATAATTAAAATAATAAATTTCTGTACAATTCCAGCATCGCTTGGCTATGTAGACAATCTACTTAACAGATTTTCACAGAACAGTCTCCCTTATTGATTATATTTCTGGGAGACATAGCAACAACAGTGCTTTACTTTATGGCAGCAAGCTGGTGAACCCAACAATACATGCCACTTTTAAGAAATGGTGTCTAAACCACCTTCCCCCCCCCCCTTATCATCATCATTTACTTTTCAGATGAAACTGAGAGACATATTGATTATGAAGATAATTTTCCTGATGACCGATCCATGCCTATTGAGGAACATATCAAGAAGGAAGAGGAAAAGGAACATAAACCGGAGCAAATTTCAGAGGATGGCAACAAGACTGAACCTGCTGATGGCAATAACCACATTGGTGAGAAAACTGTGTACAGTGAACAGGGCAACAGAATGATATACAAAAGTGAGGACTTCCTCATTGAACCCATCATTGTGAGTAATGATACAAAAGCAACAAAAAGCATAGATTCTAATGCAAATGATTCCTGGCTTGACGGTTACCCTGTTACTCAAGAAGCAGTTGAAGCACAGGAAGAGAAAGCAGATAAAATGGTTGAATCTATGGGGACAGAAAATATCACTACTAATCCACCAAATTTTGTAGGAGTTAGAAAAACAAGTACCAGCAGCCTAGAAAAGGATTTTACACAGACTGGAACAGTTCCATCAAGGACACGTGATAAGGTCAAAAAAATACCAGTAATGCTGTTGCCAACAATTGGTCTAGAGAATGTGAACATAAGCAAAGATTCTGATGATGTCCTCAGTTATGACCTAACAAGACCAATGGAACTCGCATCTGTAACTACAGTGACTACCTTGAATTTGGCCACCTGGGAAACTTCTACAATGTTCCAGCTTGTTGATCACATTCTATTGCCAGAGGAAGACGAAACCATGGTTTCCCTAATGCAAACTATTACTACTGCAGCTTCTCAAAATGCATCTACTGATACAATAACAGATGATGAGACAGAAGCTCTGACCTATGGACTAGATGGAAAGCATATAACCACTTTTGAACCATGTACAGGAGTAGATTGTTCCAGCGTAGATAAAGGCCTTATGATAGCTATTGGGATAACAGCTGTCTGCTTGCTTTTACTTGCCACACTTTTGGCAGCCTGGTGCTTCAAGAAGAGGCAGCAGAAGATCTCTGTGTATAAACTAAATGGAAAAGATTATACTAGGTACCAGTTGCAACAAATTGAAATGCAGAAGATTTAGTTGGCAGTCTATGCTGTTTGGAAGGAGTGGAATAGTACAAAAAAAGAAACTGTATGAGAAACAGATTTTATTGTCCACTTGTTCAGAAAATAAGGTAAAAAAACTGTGTGCACATCAGCAGGACTTGAAGTTATCACATACTCATTTAGCTACTTGTTTTAACCCAACTTTTTGAACTTTTCCAGACTAATTAAGGGAACCCTATTTTATCAATTGATGACTGTAACTTTCTGATGTGTGTAATGTGAAAACTCATCAACAGGCTAACTTGACAACTGCCACCCTTCACTACTGTGTGCATTGGATTTCTATAGACCAGAATGGATTTCCAACAAAGACTAAACAATATCTGGTTTTTCATCTATCCATAAAAGCAATTTTCACTTCTGTTGGTTAAAAACTACAGTAATGACAGGTTTCAAAGTAGCTTAGTAAAGCAGAAAAAAAAATCTCTGTGTGAGGTGGAAATTATTTGTTTACATCTTTTTTCCAAAGCAAGGATAAAATAACATGGGTAGTAATTGCTTGCATGTTTCACTGAACTATTGAAGTGCTAACCTTCAGGAGTTGTTTCCTCATTGCCCTTCTTCGTTTCAGTGGATTTGATCTGGAACAATTCTACCCTTCTACTGATAATTTCAGGGTGGGGAGGGGATCATCCCAGATTCATCACCATTTGTTAGCTAGAAAAAAATGCACATTTTGCATTTTACTTATTGTTGTTTTCTGCCTAGAAAGAAGTATCTTTTTATATTGTTGTGAAAGTGGGATTTTATTTGAATGGACTTGAATTAACAAGATAGTACTAATTAACCTTTAGAAATACACCAACATTTTCATTATTTCACCCAACCATTTTGGGGACTATACTTAAAAAGGTGAAAATCACCATTCAGAACTCTGCTTGAAACACCAACAGTCTTTTTCTAGTATAATGCCCTCATTGGGCTAAATCCAAATCTAAAATCAATGGATCTTTAGTTAATTATCAGGACTGTGTGCAATGATTTAGAAGTGCTTTGGACCTCACTCAAGCAAGCATCTCTCTGCTATTCATTAAAACACTCTACCTTTTTCAGCTTCCATGCAAGCCTGAAAAAAAATGTCATTGCTTTCAGAAATCCACTTGTTAAAGTTAATGCAACTCTTAAAACAGCTACAACTCTTTTCAGGCGCATGCAGAAGCCTGAAAATTGCTTTAAAACTTAGCTCAGAAGTATTGTGTTTGCACAAGTTTTGAAGCACTTTTCTCAAAATATATTGGAAATGTGCACAGCCTTAATAATTATACAACTTAAATCTGCTGAATTCAGTGACTATATTTTAGCTGTGACTAAATTTTCATTAGAATTCATTGGTGTTAATCTTATTAATTATGCTGGCAATAATACAGACTTTCTAGAGGTGCATTTGAGATTGGTTGAAGTGAAAACTTTTATTCTCAGGTTAACTCAGGGTTGATTTAGATTAGATCTGCTGTAGATGGATGAACATTTCACACCACAGCAGCTTGTGGATGGCTTTGCAAGTTATTTACTTTGCTCAAGACACTCCTTTTCTTGACATGTATGTTTTCATATAACATAATAGTAAGGTTTCTGTAAAATGGTCAAGATGAGGCCATCTTATGGATGTCATTGTTGTGCATATATGGCATTGTGCATGTTGTATATGAATGCACATAAAGGACAACTGTGTTTTAAGTGTGGTAAAGATACAGCCAAACCTGCCCATTAGCCATTATATTATGGAAAATACTTTTTCTTAAGTGTTTGTTTCTACTATTAGAAAAGGAGCTGTATCTGTATAATATTGAAATAAAAAATAAAATCTAGAATAAATCAACTGTCCATGAACATTATTCTGCAATGGCTTTGCAAAATCCATTGTATGGGAGTTAATTTAAAATGTGCATTTTATATTGGGAACTCTGCATGTTCTCAAGTCCATACACTGAACTGCTGGGTTTGGGTCTACTCTTTAATATCTGCATGGAAATAATCCACATGCATTTAAAAAGCATGGCCTGAAGTCCAAGCAAGATATGCCTGAATAGGAACTATGATACTGGAAGAAAAAACACGGTAAAAAGCCTTGCTAGCCAGGTTATGAGCAGCAAGGGTTTTGAAAGATTTAAATAAGTGTCAATTCAGAAGTTTCACTTTTCTGGAATATTTCCAATAGTTCAAGAACCGTAAAAGCAACTTTGCTGTACAGTATCAATCTGAATACTGAACAGAATACAAGTCTGCAAACATACAATTACAATGAAGATAAGATGTGGGTAATTTTATAGATATATTTGCTTTCTATTACACAACAAGGTCTGCATAGAGAACAGTGGAGGCAGATGTCTTGATTGTTAACCAGTTATAGTAGAAAAGCCTGTAGAGTTAGGGGTCAAGTTACCATTAGGTCCTTCAAATATTTGAATGGTAAATTGTAATCCCATTCTAAATTTGGGGAGGAGGAGGAGGAATTGGAGTTTAATCTGCAGTGTCTAAGACAAACAAAATAGCCCAGGATTAAACTTTCAGTCTAAAAATAATAGAAGGCAATTATCAACCAAATCTCTAACATCAACATATTGAATTTAGCAGAGGCTAAGAATGGAAAATAGCAGTGCATGAAGTGGGATTACTGCCAGAAAATCTGACACTGCAATCCAAGTATTTATTCCAATGAAGAAATTGCCTTGTAATTAATATAGGAGTGAAGTTAGAGTTTATTCTGTTAAACTTTAACAGAATAGACTCTAATTTCACTCCTATATTAATAACAGTTAAAGAAATTGCATATAGCAAAGTTGACAAAGGAAACTATATATCTAACTTGTAACTCTAGATTATGGTTGATAACTGGAACCAATCTTAAATCATGTTGCTAAATTAATTCAATCTTTTTAATTGAATAGTGAATAATTTGGGCTTTAAATTAAGATACCAAATGAACAGCAATCACTGCATAGCATTTTAAAAAATAAAAACAAAATAATTTTTTCCAGCATTCTATAACATTATGTTAGAAATATTACAGAAAGTACTGTATTCTTATGTGAAAACTGGTATCTATCAGTCACAAGTAGGGTCAATGTATGTTAACAGCAAGGTCTACATTGCAGATAGAAAGAACATTCCTCATAAATAAATAAAATTATGAGGAATGGAAAATGTTGAATGTTTCCAACAAAATGTATTCAAAATGTTTGTGGAAGAAACATCCATCTCACTGGAACATCAGTTCAAAAAGAAGCCAAGAAGCATTATATCTATAGTATTAAGCCATTTTGGAGGGGATGTGTCTGCACCTGAAGTTCTTTTCTTTTCTTTACAAAATGACCTTTTGCATGGATCAAACATTTAAAATAATAAAGCAATAAAACCTACACAGCAAAGAGATTGAAAGCCTGAATATGCTTCACTTATTAAAACTGCTATCAGAACCTTAATTATAAAAGCAATTCTGTACATTGTTATTAAATACTGTATCTGATTAATGGAAACTCTTCTATTTAAAGCCCCCCCCAAAAGTATTTAAATCTTCTATCTGCAGTGTAGACCATCGATAGCCCATTCACACATGAAAGCTATCAAATAATATAAGTAAAATTCTGAAACAGGCCACATCCAAAGATCCAAGGCATCCAATACAAACTTAAAACATGTGAACAATCGTATTTTATGAAACAAGTATGATGAAGTGCTGTTTGAGGAGAATGTAGAAAGTTTATATTTTACTTATTTTACTGAAAATGCTTCCAGATGATTTCCTGGAATACCTGTTTTTGAAACTCCTAATAGAGAGATTTGAACAAATCCTCCCTACTGCTGATTGTTGCTAGCATTTCTCATAAAAGCAAGAGTCTGTGCAGCAACTGCATCCCCTTACTTAGCAGTAAACCTCAGTGAAGTCAGTCAGACTTAATTCTGAATAGACATATGAAGGATTGCTTTGTTAGTCTCAGTTTCAAAATCTGGTAATTACTGCAGCGAGATATATATATTTCATTCGTTTATTGCTCCAAATTTTCTGGCACATAATCACTTGTCATTTGTGGTCTTCTTAAGCCCTTAATAATAGTGTATTTTCATGAAAATGTATTGTATCTGCCCACTCCCACAGACTCTGGGTGGCTGTAATAAATTTATATGAAAATACACTAGGTTTATTATAATTATTATTACAGTAATTATAATGTATTATTATACACTATTACTACATTTATTATTAATAATAGTAGTAATAATGTTTATTGCATTGCAAAACGTCATGATCTGTGTGTGTGTCTTTTATAGAAAGCTCAGACATAAAATGTTATTGACTAAAATGACTGAAAACCAAATATTGTATTCAGACATATCTATATTTTAATGTAACTATTTTTCACCCTGCAAAAGTGAATGTTAAGCGGTAAATAGGGGCCATTTACGGTTTTAATGGTGTTGATGCAGGCTTACTAAAAAGGTACGAACAAGTGATGGTGGAGCAGAGTTGTGGAGGTAAGCAAGCAAGCAAACTTGAAGCATAATCAAATGCTCTGATTTGACAAACAGATTTGTATTTAAATTTCAGAAACTACGCATTTTGTCTCTATAAAAATGGTTATCCCCATACAGGAAAGAAATGTTAAAAGAGCTAAAAATGGAGTGAACTATACCCTTATTATAAATTTTTCTGTTATTTTAATATTTTAACTCTAGGGACTGAAGACAGCTGAAACACTAAATGCCAGTAAGCTGGATGGAATATGAGCTGTGATTTACAAAACAGGCAATTTTTAAACTTTTTTTTTTTTCATATAGCTTAAATTCGCTACACTAGGTCATTCAGGCCTGAAACTTCCAGAAAAATGAAGTAGCTGTTTAAAATATGGCAAACAACCAAGATTTCAGACAGTTGCCATGAAGTAGATTTTTCTCATTGCCGTGCTACAAACTGCACTACAGCTCTATGTTCAAATATTTTTAAAAACAGTGTTTTCTTTGGCATCATCTACTTCT